CGCTCTATCGCCCAATCTAGCAGTACCATGCCAGTCTCTATCTTTCAGGGCTGTGCCCCTGCTCATTACTCTTAGTCCAACGGTTCTGCGGCGGTTGCTGAGACTGCTCCGGCTGTGGAGACCGCCGCCGTCGTGCAGTTTCGTCCGGGTAAGGGTCGTCGCCCCAAGGTTGGGCGCGGCGGAGATAGCGTAGGAGGGGGTGGTGCCGGTGGTGGAGGTGGCTCGCCTGCAGATAGTCCTGACGAGGGGGCTGGGGCTGGTGCCCCGGCGTAGCAGCCTCAGCAGCAGCAGCAGCAGCAGCAGCAGCAGCAGGCGCCACAGCTAGACCAGTAGCAGCAGCAGCGGCGAGTCGGTCGTCTCCCGCCCGGGTGGCCTGGAGCTGGAGGTGACGGTGGTCGCAGTGGTCGCTTGCGCAGTGTGCCGTCGGGTGGTGGCCAGAGTGACAGGCGCTGCCAGTACCAGCTCCAGACCGGTCCTTGCCGCGGCCTCGTGTGCGGTAAGATCGGCCATACCCCCACTCGTTGCTTTTGTCGCTTAGACGACCTGTTTCGTCTCCGCTTCGGCCCGTCGCCTGACCTCCCTGACTGGCACAGTCTGCTCCGTCGTCAGGTTCAGATTTTTGATATGAACATGGATGAGATTAGCTCTACTTTGTATGCAATGTACAGGTGTATGTTGATGACTCTAGTGTGACTGGTTCCTATTACCCTGTGTTGCCTAGCGTAGGTGTGCCCAGTGTGCCTAGTTCAGGCTCCCCTGCTGTGTTAGGCGTAGGATCCCCTGCCTTGTTTAGCCTAGGATCCACCCTTGCTCCTCCAACCTCGGTCGCGGCTGCCGTGCTCTCCTTCACCCTGGACTCCGGCGCTTCTCGGTGTTTTTTTCGCGACTCCACTACGCTTACGCCGCTTGCCGCTCCAGCTGCAGTTGCTCTTGCAGACCCTTCCTCCGGTCCTGTAGTTGCCCATAGCTCCACCACTCTCCCCTATCCGGCGGTTCCCTCAGGCTCCCTTACAGGCCTGCACATCCCCTCGTTCTCTAGGAACCTAGTTCGTGTCGGCTGCCTCCGGGACCTTGGCGTCACCACTACGTTCCCTGGGCACGAGCGGTACGCTGTCTGTACTGAGGCCGCCACTGGTGCCCCCCTCACCACGTTCCCTCGGGACCCGGTGTCTGGCCTGTTCGCGCTAGAGACCGCTTCCCCCCCAGTTGGGACGCCTTCCCTGGTGCCTGCGTCTTCCCAATTGCTGCGGCGTGCTCGTGTCGGTCGCTTACTCACCCGTCACTTCTGTGGCACAACCGTCTAGGTCACCCCGCCCTCACCCGTCTCCGTCACATGTCCCAGCACCGTCTTGTCCTAGGCCTCCCTGAGTCGTTCCCTGTGCTCCCCTCCTCACCCGCGCCTTCGTGCACGCCCTGCGTCGAGGGCCGGCTTCGCCATGCCCCTCACTCCTCCTCGTTCCCCCCTACCTCCGCACCGCTGCAGACCCTGCACATGGACGTCTGGGGCCCCGCCCCCGTGCATGGGCCGTGTCGCGAGCGCTAGTTCCTAGTGCTTGTCGACAACTACACCCGCTACACCACCGTCTTTCCCCTGGAGCGAAAGGCCGACGTGCCTGACGTTCTTCTCCCGTAGCTTGTCTCTGCGTATGTTCACCGAGGTCTTCGTGTCTTGTGCCTTCACTCCGACCGTGGTGGCGAGTTTGCCCCTGGCTGCCTTGGTCGCTTCTGTCGTGCGGAGGGCATCACCCGGACGTTCACCGTGCCGAACTCCCCGCAGCAGAATGGGGTCGCTGAGCGACGCATCCGTTTGGTCATGGAGGTGGCTCGTACCTCCATGATCCATGCCAGTGCACCCCATTTTCTGTGGCCGTTCGCCGTTCGCAACGCTGCTCACCAGCTTAACCTGTGGCCGCACGGCGGTCGCAGGTTTCGCCGACCCTCCTCTGGACCGGGTCCCCTAGTGACGCGTCTGTGTTCCACGTCTGGGGCTACCTTGCTCACTTTCGTGCCTCTGGCACGGACAAGCTCACTGCCTGCACTGTCCCCTGTGTCTTCCTAGGTTTCCCCCTCGACTCGTCGGACTGGCAGTTCTACCACTTCACTTTTGACGAGTCCGTCTCCTTCTACCACTGCTTTCCCTACCGTGGTCCCCCGGTCACCCCCCCCCCAAGTTCCTGGTGCCCCCCCCTCCCCCGGTCGACCCGGTCCACCCCCCTCCCCGCCCTGCCCCGTTCGGTGTGTCTCACGTCACCCCCCTCCCGTCAGTTGTCCCTGCTGAGGATTCCGCTGACTCTCGAGGCTCGGCGGAGTCTCTTCCCCTGCCTGTCCCTGCCCCGGTCTCGCCTCCCCTGCCGCCGCCGCTGCTGTCCCCGCCGCAGCTGCCTCCGCTGATGCCGCCGCAACCGCAGCCGCCGTCGTCACTGCCGCTGGGGTTTGTGCGTTCTAGGGGTGCTGGGGAGCAGGCTGGAGCTGGTTCTGGTGCGGGCTCTGGAGGTGCTGGAGTGGGGCTTCTCGGAGGGAGTCGTGTTGCCGCTGGAGGTTCTGGTGTTGGAGTCGGGCAGCAGTTGCAGCTGTCGCCGCAGGTGTCCGCTCTTCGCCTCCTCAGTCTCCCTTCCCCTGACCGCCCGTCGTTGCCTCCCCCGCCTCCTCCTCTGCCGGTCCACAGCCCCGTGTTTCCTCCCCCGGACTCCTCTCCGGCTCATTTCCCTCCCCGTTCTCCTCCTGTGCCTCCTCCCCTCTCTCCTGACCCGACTCCTCCGTCTCACGTCTGGTCTCGTCGTCCGTCTCGTGCTCGTCCTACCTTCCCTGTTCCGCGTTCTCACCCTATGTTGCTTCGCTCTCACGCGTCTCGTGCTCCACTCCTCCTGTCTCCTCCTCCGTCGTCGCTTGCTGTGGCTTCGCCTCCTTTCTCGGATTTCCTCCGTGCTGCTCGTCCCCTTGTTCCTCGTGTCCTTGCCTCTCTCGTTACCGACCCGTCCATTCCCGTCTCGAGTCTGTCGGCTCTTGTCGCTGCTGTCACTGACTTCGCCACTACCTGCCGCCTGGACTACGCCACTGCTCTGGTCTCTGACCCTGCCTGCCCTCCGGCCGTCGGGGGTGTGATTGCTCTTGGCAGTGACGTCCTAGAGGACATTCAGTTCGAGCTCGCATTCCTGTATGAGGCCGCTCCCTATCTCTGTTCCATGCTACTAGTCCCTGAGGGTGACCGAGACGCCCCGACGCCTCGCACCTACGCTGAGGCCACCTCGGGACCCTGGGCTCTTAGTGGATAGCTGCCATGGAGCAGGAGATGGCATCTTGGAGATCCACCGGTACCTTCGTCGACGCAGTTCCTCCACCTGGGGTGAACGTAGTCGATGGCCGGTGGCTCTTCAAGGTGAAGCGCTCTCCTAGAGAGCCGCCTGCCTTCAAGGCGCGCTACGTCGCTCGAGGTTTCAGTCAGCGTCAGGGGGTGGACTTCTTTCAGACCTTCGCCCCAACCCCGAACATGACCACTCTTCGGGCACTGCTACACGTAGAAGCACAGCGTGACTACGAGCTGCACTCCATCGACTTCTCCACATCGTTCCTCCAGGACAGTCTACACGAGCACGTCTACTTGCGCTGCTCCCAGGGCTTCTCCGGTACCTTCCCTCCTAGCACGGAGTGGCTCCTCTGGCGCCCCATCTACAGCTTGCGACAGGCGCCCCGTGAGTGGCACGACATGCTGTGTGCTGCACTTGCTGACTTGCAATTCTTCTCTTCGTCCGCAGACCCCTCGCTCTTTGTCCATTCCGGCCAGACTCTGTTCTACATCCTTGTCTACGTAGACAATCTGGTCTTTGCTACTGCAGACAGAGACGCACTGGCCATCGTGAAGGCCGAGCTGCTGATGAGACACATCTGCACTCACCTAGGACAGCTGCGCCGCTACCTTGGCTTGCAGATTTCCAGGGACAGAGCCGCGCGCACCATCACTCTCTCACAGTCACACTTGGTGCGCCAGGTCCTTCAGAGATTCGGCCTTCAGTTCTCTTCCGCACAGCCCACCCCTCTGCCAGTAGACCACAGACTCTCTGCCCCAGTGGTAGGAGGACGGAGACCAGTGGTCCTTACCAGGCACACAGACGCTTCTTGGGCAGACGACGCCGAGACTCTCAGGTCCTCACAGGGCTACTCCTTTAGCCTTTGTGTAGGTGCCATCTCGTGGAGGTCCACCCGTTCCTCGTCTGTTGCCCAGTCTAGCTGTGAGGCTGAGATCTACGCAGGTGCCATGGCAACATAGGAGCTCCACTGGCTGACCTTCTTGCTCACCGACTTGGGTGAGCGGCCTAGCTCTGCCCCGGTTCTGTACGCTGACAACAGGGCCATGATCCTCCTATGTCAGGAGCCATGAATTGAGGGTAGAGCGAAGCACATCCGGCTACGGTACTTCCTCCTGCGCAAATTGCAGCAGCGTTGGCAGGCTCGTGTAGTACACTTGGCCTCAGGTGCCAACACAACTGATATTTTACTAAGGCGCTTGCGCCTATTGATCATCAGCGGCACTGTATACAGCTAGGTCTCGTTCATGTAGCCTCTCATTTGCTAGGACCTTGATTGTGTAAAGACCTTTATATATATTACCCTGGCTAGCCTTGTGACCACTTCCTAGTGGCTGGACTAGTAGTGCCACCCTGGTCTTGCTCTTGCCTTGTCTGTAGTTGTTTGACTAGTCTTTAGACCCCTGCTTGTGAGGCTGGACTAGTAGTGCCACCCTGAGCTATTTCTCTCCCATCAGGCACTGCCCCTATCCAGTCTAGGTGGTGTGTCAAACATACAAACATATATCGTATGTTACAGTAGACTATATAGGGTTGTGCCTTAGGGAGTACAACCCATTAGGCTATATACGTACCCCTGTATGTCCTGTTCTAGTCAACTTTTCTCACTTTATCAGTTCGAACCTGAATTGTCGGGCCGAGCTTGGACTTCCGAAAGTCAGGGTTGCACTCGATGTTAGCAAGGCTTGATAAGGAAAATGGATTTTCCTTACACCTTCCCCCCTCCTAGACAAGACTACCCACATTTGGGGCACCAATGGGTGGTTGTCGAGGGTAGCAGCTGGGACCCACATGTTGTCGTCGCTTGTACGGTCAACCCATCGAACCAGAAATTCGAAAACCAGTTGACCTTGGTCTCGGCTGATTCGGTGGGAGAGGATCTGTTGTGGTACGGTGGTTGGCTGACGGACGGGTCTAATCAAAGGGTAGAGTCGTTAACGGTCAAGATCAGCCGTTTTTGCAACGAACTGTCGAAGGAGAGTTACGTGGAATGAATCGTGGATACGCCAGTCGTCCGGTAACAGTAACTTGACAGTGACGAGTGTCACCATTTGGACAATCCGGAAGGGCCCACAAAATCTCGAGCGGAGTTTATGTGGTAGAATTAACCCCAAATTCTTGGTGTCCACAAGGACTAGTTGGCTAGGAGACAAGGGTAAATCCTGTCGATGCCTGTATGCGTACCGTTTGGCCGTAAGGTTGGCTTTTGAAATGGCCTCGGTAGCGTTTTTCTGTGCAGTCTGTAAGTCCTTGACAAACTGTTGCGATCGTGGGGCAGGGCTCTCAACTACCGGTGTAGTGGGAGTCGTGGGGTTTAGAGCGTAATTCAGGTAGATTGATGATTGGGCAGTCGTTGACGAAGGGGCGTTGTTATACACGAACTCGATCAAAGGAAGGGAATCTTCCCATTGGGTCGGGTCGGTACAGGTTGTCTGTATCAGCTGCTCCATGGTCTGATTTGTCTGTTCACTCTGACCGTCGGTCTGTGGGTGGTAAGCCGTGGACAGATGGAGACGCATACCGTATTGTTCCCACATTTTCGTCCAAAAGTTGGACGTGAATCGGGGATCATGATCGCTCACGATCGCCTTCGGGATTCCGTGCAGGGGAACGACGGTTGAGATAAGCAGCTTGCCAGTTTGCTCGGCTGTGATCGTCGTTCGGCATGGCGCGAAATGAGCCATTTTCATGAGTCGATCAACGACCACGAGTACAGCATCATTTTGGGATGCGCCGGCCGGCAGTCCTGTCACGAAGTCCATGGACACGTGTGTCCAGGGCTTGGTGGGCGGTTCTAATGGTTGTAGTAATCCAACTAGCTTTTGGCGAGAGGATTTCATCAGTTGGCAAGTGGGACATGAGGCCACATATTGCTGCACGTCGTGGTTCGCATTCGGCCAGTAATAATGATGTTGGAGCATTTTGAAGGTTTTATCAACCCCAAAATGTCCTGAGCACTTAGCGTCATGAACCTCCTGTATCAGTAATTCATGTAACAGTTGGTAGGATGGAACCCAAATTCGGTCAGTACCAGCTTTTAGGTGGTAGTGGCCTCGTCGAGTGGTCAGGGCCTGGTGGCCGTTAGAGGTGAAGAGAGGATCAGTATTGTAGCCATGGGTAAACAGTCCAGTTAGCAGCGGGTTAGCTTGGGCGATTAGTACGGTGGCTGTGTGGGCAGTAGGGCGGGAAAGGGCATCAGCAATATTATTTGCCCCCTTCTTGTAGGTGATGGGGTAGTGGAAGTTGGACTCGCCAACGAATCTGTCGTGGACTCAGGGTCGGTTGGGCTCGGAGGAACTGTAGAGACTTGTGGTCTGTTTGGTCAGTAACGTCAGCACAGGATAGGTAGCAGTGCCAAGTCTTGAAGGCATTGACGATCGCGAGCATTTCCTTATCGTGAACCGGGTAATTCTGTTCAGCACCTTGGAGTTTTCGCGAGTCGTAGGCAATTGGCTGCAGACATTCGCCAAAGTCCTATAATAGTACCACGTCAACGGCGAAGTCGTTGGTGTCCGTAATCAGTCTGTATGGTCGGGGTCGGCGATACGAAGAACGGGTGGTGTCATAAGGAAAGTTTTTAGTTGGTCAAACACAGCTTGCTGTCTCTCTTCCCACATAGAAAACTCCCTTCTACAGCAAGTCGATTAACGGGGATGTTGACTCCGCTATTTTATGTATAAAGTGGCGCACGTACTGTAGTTGACGAACCCCAGAAAACCCTTCAACTCCTTGGCGTTCGTAGGCGGTTCCCAGTTGCAAATAGTGTCGATCTTTTTCGGGTCAATTTTAACGCCTTCGGTGGAGATGACGTGGCCCTAGAATTCCAACTCCTCTTTTAAGAACTCGCACTTAGATCCCTTGGAGATGAGTCGGTGTTGATCGCAGAGGGTAAAAACTGCTTTTAGGTCCGTCAAATGTTGTTGCCGCGAGGTGCTGTACACCAAGATGTCATCTAAGTAGAGGATGACACACTTGTCTAGTAGCGAGCGGAAGACTTTGTTCATGGTCAGTTGAAAAATTGAGGGTGAGTTCATCAGCCCAAACGACATCACTGTATACTCGTAACTTCCGTAACCGGTTCGAAAAGCATTCTTTGGAATATACTCGTAACTTCAGTAACGGGTTCGAAAAGCAGTCTTCGAAAAGCAGTCTTCGTAACACGAATCTGGTGGTAACCTCCATGTAGATCGATCTTGGAAAAAATCGTCTTGTGGAATCGGGTAACGGGACTTGGTGGTGATGTTGTTGAGCGCTTGATAATCGCTACACATCCGTAGTCCTCTGTCCTTCTTTGGGGAGAAGAGAATTGGCCAACGGCGTAGGGTGACGTGGATGGGCGGATATTTTTTTCCTCCAGCAGATAATCCAGTTGCTTACGCAGCTCCATCATCTCTGGTTGACTTGGCCTCCATTGCGATTGGACGGTCGGTTGCGCGCCAGGTTCCAGCTCAATTTTGTGATCGTGTTGTCATTCGGGTGGTAGGTCGGGCGGCAGGTCATCAGGAAAAAATTCTCGTAGTAGCGCATGATCTTCGCCGGGTCCTCAGGCACATCAGCACACAGCTTTTCCAAGTCGGTATGTTCAACCACCTCTATTGATGCGATCCATCACACGGCGTAGACGTCCATGCGACGTGTCATCTCACGCTTGATAGTCATGTTGTTAGCCGGTGTCGACCAGTGTCGCACAATCTTCGTCCACGGTAACAGGCGACTCCTGACGCATTGCACCACGTGTCTGGCGAAGGCTCATGTTCTCCTCTTTCAGCGCAGCGAGCCCGAGGGCCATGGCCTCCATTTTCGCCATCATTTTGCCAACATTCGTCGTCAGCACGGATGCACTTGCTGCCGCCTCTGACAACTCAGCAATTTGCTCGGGAGTCATATTTCTAGTACAACAGAGAGGAGGGCTATTGACCATGAATTACCCTAACTAGCTAACGCTACAAAATTCGGCGTGGAGCGCACACGACAAAGTCGGCGGAACTGAAGAAGTTCCTGCATGACCGCTGGACAGCTCCTGTCTCCTAACGTGCGAGGTCCCTCTAAAAACTACCTCACTACGGAAGCCTAAATGGGCAGGAACGTAGCTCTGATTCTAGCTGTTATGATTATCTCTGGATAGGAATCGAGTAATGTAATAGTGAGGTCGTGATTAAAGTGTTGAGTACAAATGAAGCGCAGGGCTAAATACAAGCACAGCTAGCCTAGCAAGAGAGCTTCGAGGAAGGCCACGAAAAACACGCGAGGTGGTTTGGGGCGCCTCGGGACTCGGAAGTGTCGAACGTGACACCGCGTGTAGGCTTGGGGTCTTGAATGTAGTTCAGAACCTGAATTGTCGGGCCGAGCCAGGACTTCCGAAAGTCAGGGCCATACTCGATGTTAGCAAGGCTCGATAAGGAAAAGGGATTTTCCTTACACCATCCAACACATGTTGTAGGAACCTAGAGCATAAGATCTTCAGTGTTTCCTAACTTCCCTGACCAACACAGTGTTGTCTCCTGCTGATCAACACGGCTGCACATCCCACAAACTGCTCTTGTCTATGCCCCAGACTCATCTCTTGTTGCTGACTGTTGCCCAATCCCCCCAGGCACATCGATTCACTTAAGGTACGCACCCGATCCAAAGTACTCGTCTCTGCCTATTACCATATCGTTGTAGCACCTCAAGCCTTGATTAGGCTCCTCAAAATCTGCTCCCTACTTTTTCCCCAATCGCACTTTCTCTTCCAGCCGTTTGATCCTCTTTCTGACCGCCCGTCCCAAGGCATGCAGCCGTCATCTCAAACTGCGTTGTCAGAGCCGTTTCACGAGCGCCGGCCACCTGCAGGCCCACCGTTTCCGCCAGAATCGCCACCACCTTCTTGTTGACCTCGGCATTCTTTTCCATCCCCAGTTGTTTCATTTTCTGTCGCTTTCGAAGCGACAACTGCGACCTAAAACCGTTGTCCTCTTCCTCTCCTGTCTCTTCCGACTCGTTTCGCCGATCCTTCCTTCTTTTCGGCACCAGCCACTTGTAGAAACTCGTGGCTAAAATAGAATATTATTTCCGCAGTCCACACTCCTCTTCAGGTTCCGATTCAGCATCCTCAGGCTCATTCTCAAAGTTCCTCCGAATCTGAGCGATATTGATTCTGTTCAGAACCTATGATGGGTTGGCGGGTTGCGGGAGCAAGAGGGCCGTTGCAAGCGTGCAGAAGGGCGGAGGGTGGAGCAGGAGGACCGTCCGTGGGCACAGCAGCTGCTAGTAGCGTCTCATTTTTGTCATCAGAGGCCATAGCGGTGGCAGTCGCATGTGTGAACTTACTATAAGCACGAACTTCGAATGAGCAAAAACCATATGTTAGTACCGTGTGCTCTGAAGAGCAGCTATTATTTTCCTGTGGAGCTCAAGGGCGTGAACCAGCACGTTTGGGGTCGGCGTGGCAAAAGGGCGTTTCTGGAATTTCTCAGGGCGAAAATGTGAAAATGTGGGCACGGGAATACGCACGGGGGGCACACGGCGCATCCCTCCTTAGGGGTATCCGAAGCGCAATTGGATGCCCCGCGCCCTTTTCCGCGTTGCGGTGCCTGTACCCCTTGCAAGGATGTCACATGAAAATGTTGGAACATGTCTACACCTACCGTATAAAACACTTCAGTTATTTTCATCTCTTTCAAGATTGCATCATTGCACTAAAATGAGATGAAGTGGAAAGAACTCCACTGCTTATCCTCATGGAGCTCAATTGAAGAAAGCACATACAGCATTGGATCATACACGATGGTTCACTACAAGAAGTATTCTTCATGAATTCTAAGCACAAAAAATATTCTTAATCATGCTAAGAGAACCGAAGTGGCAGAGCTCCCAATGGAACTAGGCGACTGCCATAATTGTACAATGGCCTGGCGAGCGGCGAGCTCGCAACTGCTTGTGCTGCGATTAGTGCTTTCCTTCTCCAACCCCTCTAACTCTCTGCTCCTCTTCAGCTCTCTGCCTCTGCACGTTCCCCCATAGGCTGGTAACGCGTGCGCCACTGAGTCACGAAACACTAAGTGCAGTTACAGTGAGCCTGAAGCTCACTTCATCATCCAACCATTCAATCCTCTCCCTGACTTCGCCTTTGGGGTCCTTATGAGTCGCGCACCATCCCGCCGTGCTCGCACCTGCAGACGCCCTGTCCGCACTTCGTCCTCGAGCCATTCGATCATCTCCCTGACTTTGCCGTTGTGGTCCCTTGCGCCCCCGCATCCTTACGAGTCAAGTCATGCACCATCCTGCCGCCCTCACAGCTCTTGGCACCTTGTCCGCACCTCGTCCTTGAGCCGCTCAATCCTCTCCCTGACCTCGCCTTTTGGGGTCCCCCGCTACCCTGTGTCCGTATAATTCACATACCGTCCTGCCATGCTCACAGCTCTCGGCACCCCGTCCACACCTCGTCCTCAACCTGCTCAATCCTCTCCCCGACTGCCGCAAAACCATTTGTCAGGCAGTTCGCTGTCATTTCAAATTGCTGCCTCAGAGAATTCTCGAACGCAATAGCCAATCGACGACCCACCGTTTCCATGATCTCCAACGCCAGCTTGTCGACCGCGTCATCCCCTCGCCGCTTGAACTCGATATCCTCCTCACCCCTCACTTACGCTTAGCATCCCTACCCTCTTTCTCGTCTGATTTCACCTGACTCCTCGCAAGTCGGTCATGACCGCTCATGGCTTCGGGGAGACTCAGCCCGCAACCGTTTCTCTCGTACAAAAAGTTCTTCGTGCATATATGTTTGGCACACCCCCTAGGCTAGATAAGGGGCAGTGCCAGGCAAGAGACATGCAACTCAAGGTGGCACTACTAGTCAAAAGGGTACAAACTAGGCAGGAGTAAACCAGGGCGGCACTACTAGTCCGGCCACTGAAAGAGAAGCCACAAGGCCAGTCGCTAATATATATAAAAAGAGTAGTACATAATGAAGGTCCTACCAAGTGAGGAGCTACAGGAACTAGACCAAGATGCATACAGTGCCGCTGATGATCTTTAGGCGCAAGTGCCTTAGTAAAGATATCAGCTGTGTTGGCACCGGAAGCCAAGTGTACTACACGGGCCTTGCGGCGCTGCTGTAACTCACACAGGAGGAAGTACCGCAGTTGGATGTGCTTCGCTCAGCCCTCCAGTCAAGGCTCCTGACACAGGAGGATCATGGCCTTATTGTCAGCGTGCAGGACCAGGGCAGAGCTAGGCCGCTCACCTAAGTCTGTGAGCAAGAAAGTCAGCCAACGGAGCTCCTGTGCCGCCATGGCACCGGCGTAGATCTCAGCCTCACAGCTAGACTGTTCAACAGATGACTAGTCGGTGGACCACCACGAGATGGCACCTGCACCAAGGCCAAATCAGTAGCCCTGGGAGGACCTGAGCGCCTCAGCGTCGTCCGCCCACAAAGTGTCTGTGTGTCCGGTAAGGACCACCGGCCTGCGTCCTCCTAGCACTAACCCCATGCCCGATGTACTTGCTAGATAACACAAAACCCCCTTAGCGGCCGACCAGTGCTGTGGTCGGTGTCTGCCTGTGGACACAAAGCGAGCTAGGATGCTGAGAAGGGTATGCAAGATCTGGACGAGTGCAAGTCGTCAGGTACATGAGGCAACCCTCTAGCTCTGCATAAGGACCACTTGGCTCTACAGACTCCTCAGGGACTGGAGCTGAGAGCCTGTGATCTACTGGCAGAGGAGTGGGCTCTGCGGAGGAAAACTGAAAGACCGAACCTCTGAAGGACCTGGCGCACCAAGTGTGATTGTGTGAGAGTGATGGTGCACGCTGCTCTGCCCCTGGAGATCTGCAGGCCAAGGTAGCGGCACAGCTCTCCTAAGTTAGTGCAGGTGTGTCTCCTCAGCAGCTCAGCCTTCACGGAGGCCAGTGCGTCCATGTTTGCAGTAGCAAAGACCAGGTCATCTACATAGACAAGGATGTAGAACGGGGTCTGACCAGAACGAACGAAGAGCGAAGGGCCTGCATACGACGGGGAAGAACTGCAGGTCAGGTAACAGCACGCAGCATGTCGTGCCATTCTCAAGGCGAAGGTGTCGGTGAAGCCTGGCGGACGACGCAGGTAGACCTGCTCGTGCAGACTGCCCTGTAGAAACGCTGTGGCTAAGTCAAGGGCGTGCAACTCATAGTCACGCTATGCTGCTATGTGTAGTAGCGCCCGAAATGTAGTCATCTTCGGGGTCGAGGCAAGTGTCTGAAAGAAGTCAACACCTTTGCGCTTATTGAAGCCTCAAGCAACATAATGCGCCTTGAACACCGGCGACTCTCCAGGAGGGCACTTCACCTTGAAGAGCCACCGGCCACCGACTACGTTCACCCCAGGTGGGGGAACTGCATTGACGTAGGTGCCGGTGGATCTCCAAGATGCCATCTCCGCGTCCATGGCAGCTATCCACTAAGAGGCCCAGGGTCCCGAGGCCGCCTCAGCGTAAGTGCGAGGGGTCGGGTTGTCAAGGGTGTCTGGGTCACCCTCAGGGACTAGCAGCATGGAGCAGAGATGGGGAGCGGTCTCGGACAGGAAAGCTAGCCCGTACTGCCTGTCCTCTAGGACGTCACTATCAAGGGCAGGTGCACCTCCGATGGACAGAGGATGGGCGGGGTTAGAGACTAGAACGGTAGTGTAGTCAAGGCAGCGGGTAGAGGCAAAGTCAGCGATGGTAGCGACAAGAGCGTCAAGACTAGAGACAGGAGGGGTCGGTAATAAGAGAGGCGAGAATGCGAGGAACGAGCGGATTAGCGGCACAAAGGAAGTCAGAGAGAGGAGGCGGAGAGACAACAAGCGATGACTGAGGAGGCGACAGTAGAAGAGGAGCACGAGACGCGTGAGAGCGGAGCAACATAGGGTGAGAGCTCTGGACAAGAGAAACAGGACGAGCACGAGAGGCATGGTGAGACCACCAACGGTAAGGGGGGGTCGCGTCAGGAGACGAGGAGACACAGGAGGAGAACGAGGGGGAAAACGAGCCGGGGACGAGTACGGCGGAGGAAACACAGGGCCGTAGATAGGCGGGGGAGGCGGTGGCGGGGGAGGCGCAGGTGGGCAGTCGGGGGAGGGATGACCCAGGAGGCGAAGGGCGAACACTGGTGGCGTCTGCTGCTGCTGCTGCTCCACGTCGACACCGAAACCTCCAATCGCACCACGGCTACCTCCGGGATGCTCCATAACAGCACCCCTAGAACGAGAACCCTCAAAACCAGCACCCTCAGAATGTGAACCCGCTCCAGCACTGATGCCACCCCCAGGACCGCTGGGACAAGCCACGACAGTACCCCCAGGACTAGCACGCTCCTCAACGCTGCACCCCCAGAGCTCACGGACCCCTGCGGTGGCTGTGGCTGCGGCTGCTGGTGTGGCTGCGACGTCGGCGGCTGCTGTGGTGGCGAAGGAGGAGACACTGGGGCGGAGACAGGTAGCAAAACCAGAGCCGCAATGCCCCCAGAGTCAGCCGACTCCTCTACCGGGATAACCGACGGGAGGGGAGTGACATGAGACACACCAGACGGGGAAGGACGGGGAGGGAGAGGAGCAGGGGCTACCGCGGGAGTGGGAACCAGGAATAGGGGTGGGGTAACCGGGGGATCTCGGTGGGGAAAGCGGGTGTAGAAGGAGACAAACTCGTCAAAAGTGACATCACGAGAGTGAAAGAATCGGTGAGACGGCGGGTGGTTAAAGTGCCAGTCAGACGCGTCTAGGGGGAAGCCAAGGAAGTTACAAGGGACAGTGCGGGCAGTGAGCTTGTCCGTGCCAGTGGCATGAACGTGAACGAGGCAGCCCCACACATGGAGGCAAAGGCCTGACGCTCAGCAGACGTGGGGCCGTCAAAGAGGGCAGCAGGCACGTTGGGGCGGGGGAGCTTGCCGTCGACATAGACGGCCAGGGAATAGCCATCCTGGCGCTAACCGGTCAGCTGGCGGTGAAGGTCGATAAGCTACACCTCAAAATCAACCGCCCAACCCTCCACGTGCAGGCGGAGCAAAGCGTCCGCCATCACCACAGCTACAGCGGTTGACGGCGACACGGCGTCCCAGCGGCACGGCGATAGGGCGACACGGCGGCCCAGCGGCACGGCGGGACCGGGGCCGGCTCGAACTGGGGCCGGCAAGCCAGGGTGAGCGAGCTAGGGGCCAGCGAGCGAAGGGCCGGCGAGCGAAGGGCCGGCGAGCGAGGGGTGGCGGCTAGCAAGGGGCCGGCGAGCGCGGGGTTGTCGAGCGCGGGGCTGGCGAGCACTGGGCCAGCGAGCACGGGGCCGGGGAGCTAGGGGCCGGTGAGCTCGGGGCCAATGAGCGAGGGGCCGGCGATCGAGGGGCCGGCGAGCTAGGGGCCGGCGAGCTAGGGGTCGGCGAGCTAGGGGCTGGCGAGCATGGGGCCAGCGAGCACGGGGCCAGCAAGCGAGGGGCCAGCGAGCGAGGGGCCGGCTAGTGAGGGGCCGGCGAGTGCAAGGCTGGCGAGCACGTGGACGGCGTGCGCAGGGACGGCGAGCGCGGGGCTGGCGAGCGCAGGGCCGGTGAGCGAGGGGCCGGCTAGCGAGGGACCGACGAGTGCGGGGCCAGCGAGCGCGGGGCCGGCGAGCGCGGGCCAACGAGCGCGGGGATGGCGAGCGAGGGGCCGACGAGCGAGGGGCTGACGAGCGAGGGGCCGGTGAGCGCAGGGCGAGCGAGCGCAAGGCTGGCGAGCGCAGGGCCAGCGAGCGCGAGCGAGGGGCCGGCTAGCGAGGGGCTGGCGAGTGCGGGACCAGAGAGCGTGGGGCCAGCGAGCTACCGCGGCTTGGGCGGGCTAGGGCGGCTAGGGTGGACTAGGGCGAGCGAGAGCGGCAAGTGCTAGGGCTAGGACTAGGGCTAGGGCGGAAGCGCGCGTGGGCGGGGATGGCCTAACCTAGCGTGATACCATCTCAGAGTAATGAATTGGCTAGAATAGAAGGTACAGGGTAGTTTTGTGCTAGTGTTAAACTTTCTAAGAGCATTCACCTATCTAGCCTATAATAACATATGCATATATGTTTGACACGAACAAGCACTGCCAGTGGCATAGAAGATAGAGGCACAAACGGGGGGGACATCTATAAATGAGTGGAAATGGCGCCGAAAACTACGACTCAAGGGCCTACTCAATACGTGTGGACCATGCGGATTTTTCAAAAGTCACAATGCATTCGTAGAAGCATCTGAGGAGTCGCGATGAATTCTCCAACGATTTGTTGTTCGTAATGATATTTCCAAGACGAAGTAGGAATAGGCCCCAGATTTCCACTTTCAAATTCCTCTGTTTGAATGGGGCACTTGTGTGTTTCCCTACAACGCAGGACCCGTTTCAGTACAGGGAATTAAAACTTCACACTTCATTTCATATTAATTACAGATTCTCGTTTCACTAGTAAAAGTGGTGTTGTAAGGGCGTGGTACATACAGTTCCGAATTTGGAATTACGGAACAGAGTTCCGAAAACAGCCCTTAGAATAATCGGACGAACATGGCACATCCAGTTCCGAAACTCAAATATGTCCGGATTTCCTACTTGGTACTCCGGACAGTGGGGAAGGCGTTTGAATTTTCAAACGCACGCGAAATGGCGAACGAAACGAACAATACGAAAAAACATCAAACTAGTTACGACATGGATTTGTCGCTTACCGTCGTCACTGTCGTTCACAGCTGCATGCTAGCAAAGCTGGAGACTTGGTCGTACAGTTTTCGGTTGGAGACTTTTTCCATATCAATTCCGATTGGCCGATTCCCAATTTCTTTCGCGCGTCAATCTTCTTCTGTAGGGTGACAACGTTTTCAATTCGCCCACTTCGTCAAGGGGAACTCAGTAAACCACTCGGATTTGGCGGGGATACTGTTCGGATGTATGTCCGGACACCCCTGTCTGGACGGTGTTGGTAACCTGCTTTACCTATGTTGGGCAGTAGTCGCAAATTGACTCGCAAGGTGACTCGCGAAAAATCACGTAATGGGTATCCCTACTTTTGTCCGGACAGGGGCCAGTTCCGGAACTGTGTGTACCACGCCCCAAGATCACGTTCAAGAAGTTTGCCCATCCACGAAGTTTTCCCACGCGGCTCGGAATGTTTAAAAACACATTCCAATGTTTGCCCACGCGATTCAAACTTTGCCCATGCGATTAGAACTTTGCCCATCCCGCTTTCGGTCGGCCATGATGCATGCGACGTGAGCCCACGAGAAAGTGCGAACTCATCCCACGTCAGGAGTTGGCAGTGTTGCGTCCCACTCCAGCACGATTTGGCGCCTGGTAGTCACGGAACCTTACCGCAACTGCCCGCACGGCCCAAGAAACTTGGCGAGGGCAACTGGAAGACCCACCATCTCCAAGCGTCGTCAAATATGGCAAGATTTCAATTGAGGTCAAACCAACCAAGTACGACCACGTTTTGGATCCGCTCGACACCCGGCTGAGCGTCAGATGGGTTTGACGTTTGCGAATCCTGATTTCATCGCATCTTGAGCACGCGATTATGTTTGGGGCTTCCTCATTTGGCGCGAACTTTGTCTGTTTGCTTTTTGTCGTTTGGGGCTCGTCAAACTGGTTGCAAGGTTGTGAAGTCGGATGGGCAAACTTTGGCGTTCAGGAAGTTTGCCCACAAAGTTAGCCCACAGAATTGCCCAAAACCGTGACGGATGGGCAAAATTCGGGATGGGCAAACTTATAGAACGAGATCTAAGAGTGGATGAAGAGGATTTCAGTCCAGGGTTGCTTGACCCTGAAGAGTCCTATGTCGGGGGTGTAGGGGCGCGTTTTCCCTTTGTAGCGAACTTTGTGGAAAGTTTTCCAGCTGACTCTTTAAACGTGCTGCAGATCATTCAAAATCTCCTTTCTTGCAGTCGTGACCGTACCAGAACTGCCAAAAATTGCCATTAAGTAGTTTGCCGCGAGGAAGGAATGCTCCCCTATCCAGGCTTCTGTGCCGTAGCTCAAGCACTCAGCTTTTGACGTCCCTAGTTCGAGGCGCAGCTCGACTTCGTGTGGTGTCCTCCCAAAAACCATGGCTGACCAACCACCGCTAGGAACAAGAGAAGGATTTTCACGGGAAAGAAGTGGCGATGTACACGGGCTTCCTGAATCGAGACTTAGAGAGGTGCGCATAAGAGACGACCGGACAAGAGCAGTAAAATGTCAGTGGATTCTGAGATGAGAGTTTCGAAAAAGTGGATATAATTCCAGCCTGTTAAGTTCCTCCACGGTGGGCGTTGAATGTCGTTGATGCACACAGTGCGTCAAGTTTTTTGGAACATCATATTTTGAAAGTTCTCCTGTGCATTCTTTTATTCCAATATCAATTATCGTGTCGTCGCTATGACCACCAATCCCATCATCAGGAACGAAAGCAGCGACAAGGCCCAGCGTCCGGCGTCCTAAGACCCGGTCAGTGTGAGTTCTAACCTGTCCACTGTGGATCTGGATGATCTTCTTCTTTCCAGAAATGCACTTGGCTTGATACGCCTGACAAATTCCTAGTGCCCAGTTTAGCAACTGTGTTTTCAACGTCGTTTTCAATGTTCCAATTGCAGAGGTGACCAAGGTCCTCTGTGACTTTTTGGAGGTTGCAGTGAACCACCTACTCTACCTGAGATCGATCTATCCTCCAGGTAAATCGCCTGTTTAGATTTCTACATTCTGACATCTATCATTGGCGATTCTTGTGTTCAAATTTGTCAAATTTGTTTGTCGTAACTACTTATTTCGTTTTCAGAGATCTTCCACCGGAGCCGCTTTGCGTCTGTTCCTGTGTACTGCAGCAGACACCCAGGCCTCCGTTGTTATATTCGGGACGCCATCAACGATCTTTCCCCACACATCGACAAGGTATCGAGCCTGTCGCCATGATGGTATATGTGCCGTCCTGTTTCCCTCTCCCCCTCCTTTCCCCCATTTGTCCCCGCCTGTTTTCATCTCCATCCCTGTATCCCTCCCTCACATTTCCTACTCCTTTCCTTATTGTGCAGGGTGTAGTGGAGCGGATTGATCTTGCTGTTTTCGCAACAAATGGAATGAAGATCTACGAGAGGATAGTCTTCGACTTCTCCGTTTTCCCTTCAGCTTCTGCTGCCAGCTCAGCAGCTCAGCAAGACAGCTTGGAGTCCATTGAGTATTGCCTGCGCTCTTTCCTCGTCAAAGCGTCTGTTTCAGAGTGCCTCCAGCGACCCCTTCCGCAAGGTATCTGTGCAGTGAATGTGGTGATTGATTTTTCCGCATTTATATTAACTACCTTTTCCCACTCTATATCAGCCTTGTGTCGAAAGCCCGGACAGTGTTTCCCCAGCTCCCTGAAGGGTTCCTGACTTTCGTTGTGAATTGCTTCACTGTGGTTTGTTCTTACCATGTCTTCTTTGTCAGATTGTGCATGGGAGCTCATTGCTCATTCCAAGCATCTTCCTTCCGGTCGAAGCTCAAGTGGCCAGTTTTGGATCCAAGCTGACTCTCCAGAGGGCCACGTGCCCAATCGGCCAACGCCTGCAGCTGCTGCTGCTCCTGCATTCGCTTCTGCTGATACTGTGGGCGCTGCTGGTGCTCTTGGTTCTAGTGTAGATTGGGGAAGTAGGCATGTGCAGCAGGCATTTCGTGGCGCTTCCACGAAGGTGCCTAGATTGCTTCCGATCAAGTCGATGAACACAGGAGCATTGTCACTACAGCTCTACGTTGAGCGTCCCTGATATTCGGTTCGTACATGAAGCAGTGAAGTGTTTCACTTGTATTGTATGTATATGTAATTTGTGGATTCTGCTCGTGTGTCTGTCTAGGTTTCATGTCCTGACTAGTGCTCGCTTCGCATGCCATACCCGCATGCTCGTAAAAAATAATTAGAGGTCATTCCGCTTTTTATCAGCTCGTCGTGTTTTCTTATTTGCATGCGTAACATAGGATTGATGTCGCGAATATATTTGTCTAGCTGGTATCTGTTTTCGCTAGGCAGTTCGCTAGGGATGTCTGTTTTCCCGCCATTTTGGTTGGGCTCGGCGCGCTTATGACGGACAGACTCGTCGCGCTTTCATTCCCAAGGCATGTTTTGCCGCACCAGGTATGAAGTGAGGGAAATCCCTAGGCGGCAAAAAAAGCATTTTCTAGGGCGTGGTATTATCATAAAAGCGGTCCGGTTGTCGAGCAGTCCATTCTCCTCGCGGTTCTCTACAGCACAGCCCTCCCGATCCCCGAACCGATTGTCGATTACCCGTTCCGAGCATCGCCGCAGCTATATCGCCACGCATTCCTCAAGGCGTCGCGAAGGCTTATCCTCACTTATTTCTCGTTCCTCTCGCTCCTCGTTCCTGGGGCCTTCACCAGCGCAATCACTCCATCCACGTGAATATTGCAACCACGCAGTATCCATGGGCGACGCGAAGGACATCTTGGGATTGCCGAAGAAGGCGCCGTCAGGCACGCCGGGCGGAGTGGGGGTGGGGGGCGCTGGAGTGCCGGGGAGCGTGGGGAAGGGGAAGAAGCGCGAGCGCGATGGCGGAGGGCGGGCGATTCCCGAGGGGATCAGCAGAGAGGTGGGGAATGGAGAAGACGGGGTCGCCATGGGGGAAAGGGGGGGGAGGGGAGGGTGAAGAAGGAAAAGGGGGAATAGGGGGCGGGCGATTCCCGAGGGGATCAGCAGAGAGGTGGGGAATGGAGAAGACGGGGTCGCCATGGGGGAAAGGGGGGGGGAGGGGAGGGTGAAGAAGGAAAAGGGGGAATAGGGGGCGGGCGATTCCCGACGGGATCAGCAGAGAGGTGGGGAATGGGGAAGACGCCGGGCTTTATTGGGGCGGAGGGGGAGGGGTCGCTGGGACTGGTGAAGTTTTAAGGTGGGAGGAGAAGTGGGAGAAGTGGGAGAAGTGGGAGAAGTGGGAGGGAGGGATATGAAGGAGAAGCAGAAACTTTTTTAGGCGCCTCAAAAGGGGAGGGGGAGGGGTCGCTGGGACTGGTGAAGTTTAAGGTGGGAGGAGAAGTGGGAGGGATAGGAAGGAGAAGCAAAAAATGGACGATTCGTGCCAATGCCATGCAAGTTTCAAGGCAGAAGTAGCCCTCCTTTAGTCCGTATCAATGGCCTCGGTCTGCGATCCTTCCATCCATCCTGCGTGTTTCGTCCTCCCTCTCTTCCAACTCCTCCCTCTCCTACCTCTCCTCCCTCCAGGTCTATGCGCTCACGGGTGGTTTACCCCCAATAATGCCGACTTTCGACCCGATGCTGCTGCTCAAGAAAAGAACCACCCCCACACATAAGGTCTCGCCAGCGTCGATCAGTATTGTTCAGTGACTTGCTGTTCTTAATAGCATATACGCGTAATTTGTAATGGCCTGGCAGGCATGCTGTGCTTTCTAGTTTCCTCTACGGTTGAATATTTTTACGGGGACGTCTTATGCTTGAAATATTCTATGGGGAGATATTCGCTCTCTGTGCTTATCTTGTTTCCCGTGTGTGTGCTGTCCGATCTTTCAATTGATGCTGTGTCATGTGCTTTTATTAAAAATCCACACATTTTCTCTCCTTCATTTTAGCTCATCCCTCTCCTGCCCTGCCAAGCCCCTCATTGCTGTTTATGCCAGGTGACGTGGCAGTGGAAACCCATTGTTTCATCTGCCCGGCCAGACGACCTGAAAATCTATCACTGGGTAAGTTGTTCTACAAGGGGAAAGGGGAAGGGGGAATGCTAGAAGGGGAAAGGGGAAAGGGGAATGCTAGAATCGGAAAGTTTTGGGTTGGCTAGTGCTTGTGTGGACATCTGGGGCACCTGAGATCCGTGGATTGGAGTGTATTTGGCATGTCTTTGACATGTCTGTGCATGTGCATTTGCGTGCGTGCTTGCGTCTTTGTGTGTATGTGCGTGCTTGTGTATCTGTGTGTCCCTCCCTGGTTTGGCATGTTCCCATGGTTTTGCGTGCACCAACAGATTAAAGTGATGGATGGCAAAATTCCAACAGAGGATTATTCCTTTGCCAAGTATAACAAGGTCAGTTACTATTGTTACCATGTCAGCACCTGCATGGCAACACTTCACAACAACAGCTACTTGGTGTGTGCAATAACGAAACAATACCAGCTGCTTCTTCAGCTCATTTCTGTATAAAGCTATTTTTCACTTGTTATTACGAATTCCATTCCCCTCTACGTTCCACCTCCACCCGCCTCTTGTGTTTCTCACCTCCTCCCGCTCCCACTCCACCCCACTTTCTCACTCCCTCCCGCTCCCACTCCACCCCACTTTCTCACTCCCTCCCGCTCCCACTCCACCCCACTTTCTCACTCCCTCCCGCTCCCACTCCACCCCACTTTCTCACTCCCTCCCACTCCCACTCCACCCCACTTTCTCACTCCCTCCCGCTCCCACTCCACCCCACTTTCTCACTCCCTCCCTCTCCCACTCCACCCCACTTTGTCACTCTCTCCCACTCCCACTTCACCCAACACTCTTTTTCCCCCGCGTTTCTTCCCTATCCGATTTGTTCTCACTCCCCCTATCCGTCCAGCCCCCTCAAGTGCTACAGTACACTGACGAGGAGTACAGGAGTCTGCTCTATCATCCGGTAAGGCTTAGTGTCTGAAAGACTATATGCTTCCTGACTGGCATTCTTCACCACTACCAAACACCTGCTACATCCAGCTGCCTCGAGTGCTGCAGTACACTGACGAGGAGTACAGGAGTCTACTCTACCATCCGGCAAGACTCGATGGTCAGATGACTCAACGCCAAGTGATAAACATGGGCCTGCATTCCGTGTGCAGAGACCTGCTGTGTCCAGCCGCCTCGAGTGCTACAGTCCACTGACGAAGAGTACAGGAGTCTGCTCTACCTCCCGGTAAGTTTCAGTGTCCGAAAGACTTAATGCTCCCTGACTGGCATGCTTCACCACTACCAAACACCTGTGAGTCTGCTCTACCACCCGGTAAGGCTCAGTTCTCTGACAGACATGCGTATATCTCCACTCCCGCAGTTCTCCTCTCCTCTTGAGTCCCGCTCGCACGTCATTCATCCCTCTCACTTAACCCAACCCTTCAAGTGGTACACTGCGCTGATGAGGAGTACAGGGGTTTGCTCTACCACCCTGTAAGGCGTAGTGCTCTGACATGTGTACCACTGCACTCCCTCAATTCTCCCCTCCTCCCGCTCGCACTTCATTCATCCCGCTAACTCAGCCCACCCTCTCAAGTGCTACAGTACCCTGATGAGGAATACATGAGTCTGCTCTAACACCCTGAAAGTTTCACTATCCAGAAAAAGAAAAGAAAGAAAGAAAGAAAAAATTAAAACAAAAACAAACAAAAACGCCTCGGCGTAAGATACACTGATGGGAAGAAACGACCGTGTCGATGGATCTTTGTGCTTGCCTCGGTGCGTTGTCTGTTGTCTGTCTTGGTGCTTGCCTTGGTGCGTTGTCTGTTACAAAAGTCCAATCATTCCCCCCCCCCCCCGACTTCCCCCCCAACACCAGCGGTGGTCCCGGGAGGAGAGCGGCGCTTTGATGGAAATCTGCGTTGAGATCGGCCCGCGGTTCATCGTTGTTGCCGACTGTTAGTGTTCCCCCCTCCCTCTCCTCCCTCCCCTCCCCTCCCCTCCCCTCCCCTCCCCTCTCCTCCCCTCCCCTCCCCTCCCCTCCGTCCCCTCCTCATTTCCCCACCCCCCAACACCAGCGGTGGACCCGAGAGGAGACCGACGCTTTGATGGAGATCTGCGTTGAGATTGGCCCGCGGTTCATCGTTGTTGCCGACCGTTACAACACCGACGTCGAGCGTTACAACTCCCAAATCGACCAGCTCTCAGTTCCTACTGCTGCTGCTGCTGCTGGTGCCAGTCCAACTACTGGCGCTGCAGCTGTTGGAAAGACCAGCGAGCAAGAAAGAGCTGCTGCCAGGGGTGGTGGTGATGCTGCTGCTGCTGCTGCTGCTGCTGCTGCTGGTGGCTGTAAGGAAGAGCCTGTAACGGGAACTGGGGAAGTCAAGGAAGAGCCTCGGGAAATTGCTGCAGAAGCAGCAGGAGCAGCGGCCACTGCTGGGGCTGCTGGTGATGCAGCTGGTGGAAGCCCAGCAGCTGCTGCTTCTGTGGGTCCTCGGGAAACTGGTGCGGCAGCAGCAGCAACAACAGGTGGTGGAGGCCCCTTAGCTTTAAAGAGGAAGGAACGGTCGGTGGAGGAGATAAAAGAACGGTACTATGATGGTAAGTCTGATCTGATGTGTGGCAATTAACGTTGGACTCTCCTCGTCCATGCGATTTTCCTTCCTTTAGCAGTTTCGTTGCACATGTTTCGTCACACATGTTCTGTTACGCATGTTACCTTGCGCCTGAAATTGCGCTTCCATTGTGCAACTGGATTGGATGCAACTGGTGCAAAACAGCAGCTGGCTCAAGCTCACAACCGCTCTTCCCCACTATCTAGTTGGTTCTTGAGAATAAAAAAAAAACTGATGCAACCGGTGCAAAACGGCTGGTTCAAGCCAAGCACTGCGCAGCACAACCACACTTACTCACTGTCTCATCCTCCCTTTCTTCTGTGCAGTTACGAAGAAGCTTCTTGCATCGCGAGCAGCAGCAGGAGAAGAGGTGCCAATGGGTCTATTGCCTAAGGTGGGTGGGTGGGTGGGTGGGATTGCATAGGTGTGTGTCTCCCTCACGCTTTCCCTCACGCTTTCCCTCACGCTTTCCCTCACGCTTTCCCTCATGCTTTCCCTCACGCTTTCCCTCACGCTTTCCCTCACGCTTTCCCTCACGCTTTCCCTCACGCTTTCCCTCACGAGTCACACGTCACATGAAATGAGTTCTTGCATGCAAAACATCAGTTGGTTCTTGAAGATTCTCAAATGCCAAGATCAATTCATTCTTGAATTCATATGCTAGCATCAGACCGTTAACCAAGGTCATAGAGACAACCCACACCCCAACCCCAACCCCAATCGAACCCAACCGCGACTTACAAATCAAGCAGGACGGCTACAACATGCGGGCAGAGGTGGAGCGCAAGACCCTGCTGGCCGCACAGCTGGCGCTGACTAGGCGCCAGCTGGCAGAGGAGGAGAAGGTGAGGAGACGGGAGAAGGGGGGAGGGGGGGGGGGAGAGAGGGGGTGAAGAGGAAGAGGGGGGAGGGTAGGGAGTGCTGCTAGGTAGAGAGGTGATAGATCACCGAGGTTTGAGGGGCACGTTTGAGGGGTGGACAAGAAGGGGGAAGGAGCAGTGTGTGTGTGGATCGTATTCTGGAGTTACTGGAGGTGAAGTTTCCCCTGAAGGATCTGAGGATGTGTGATTGAGCTTTTAGGCGCCTCAAAAATTGTATGAATGATTTTTGAGGCGCCTCAAAAATTGTATTAACGATTTTTTAGGCGCCTCAAAATTTGCAATGATTTTTCAGGCACCTCAAAAATTGTATGAATGTTTTTTCAGGCGCCTCAAACATTGTATGAAAGGTTTTTGAGGCGCCTCAAAAATAGTTTCCTGTGAAGGATCAGAGGATGTGTGAATGAGGTTTGAGGCGCCTCAAGACACAGAATCGTCTCTTTCTTGTGTCCTCCCTTGACCCACCAGCACCAGGTGCTTGCAGAGGCGGAGAGGATTCTGAAAGTCCGGGGATGGTGGAGTGATGGGCAGTATCGTCCTCCCTTGACCCACGCACACCAGGTGCTTGCAGAGGGGGAGAGGATTCTGAACGTCCGGGGATGGTGGAGTGATGGGCAGTATCGTCCTCCCTTGACCCACCCACACCAGGTGCTTGCAGAGGCGGAGAGGATTCTGAAGGAACGCAGATGGACAGAGGAGCAGAGCATTTTGGCGGAACACATAATGCCTGTGTGAACTGCTATTTGCTCGTGTGTGTTCCGTTCTCTTGACCCACCAGCACCAGCTGCTTGCAGAGGCCGAGCGGATTCTCAAGGAACCCGGATGGACAGAGGAGTAGTTGGGGGGCCACAGAATGCCAGCGCGTGAACTGATGTTTGCTCGTGCGTGTGCCGTTCTCTTGACCCCCCAGGTGCTTGCAGAGGCCGAGAGAATCCTCAAAGCACGGGGATGGACCGAGGAGCAGTTGAAGGAACACAAGGAGAGGCTTCAGTCGAAGGAGAGGGAGAGGGAGGAGCGAGAGGAGCGGGAGAGAGAGGAGAGGGAGGAAAGGGATAGGGAGAGGAGGGAGCGGGAGAGAGGGGAGAGGGAGAGGGAGAGGGAGAGGGAGAGGGAGGAGCGAGAGAGGGAGGTGGAGGTGCGGAGGCGGCAGGCGAAGCAGCAGACTGTGAAGCTGGTGAGTGCATGGCAGAGTGGTGAGTTGGAGTGTGAGGAAGTGAGTGTGTGGCATGGAAACTGGGGTATTTGGCAGGCCAAACAGCAGACTGTGAAGCTGGTGAGTTGGAGAGGGAGGGGTGCCTATGGCAGCAGATCAGATCATATCAGATCATATCATCAGGTGACTTTTGAGGTGCCTCAAAAGGGCGTGAACTGAGACTGCTTTTGAGGCGCCTCAGAAGCCACCTATAGCAGCATATCGTATCATAAGGTGACTTTTGAGTCCACTCACAAGTGAGAGAGGCGCGGCGAAGGCAGGCCAAGCAGCAGACTGTGAAGCTGGTGAGTTGTGGAGGGAGGGGTGCGTGTGGGGGGTTGTTCTAGGCGCCTGTGGTGAGCGCAAGGGTGGCGAGGAGATTCTGGGCTTTTGAGGCTGCTTAAAAGCAGACTGGTGAGGAAAGACTGGGCACCGTCGTTTCTAACAACCTTGATATGTGCCGTGGTTATCTGCATCGATAGATCGAACTTTGTTGATGCTGACAGCATTCATTTGGGGACTCCTTCTCAACTATTTTCCAGCGCAATTCAATTCCTCTTCCCCTCTCCAGCATATGCTCACCTCCTCCCCTTCTGCTTTTGAGTCGACTCAAAAGCAGACTCTTCCCCTTTCCCGCGTATGCTCACTTCCTCCCCTTTTGCCCCCCTTCCTGCTCCCCTTCTTTTCTGCAGGCCTCTATTCCCCCATCCCCCACGCTCACCTCTCGAGCACCCCCAGCAGCAGCAGTTACACCCCTACAAGACGCCCACGTGGCAACGCCAGCTGTACCTGTGTCAGCGTCCACGTCAGCAGCTGCCCATGCTGACGTGGTGCCAGCTCATGTTCCAGAGCGCACGCGTCCGCATGCGGTGTCAGCAGGAGGCGGAGGGTCGCGTGGTGCCCTTGCTGCTCCCATGTCTGCTCAGGCTGGGAATACGAGAATGGTGAGTGAATGGCATAGTGGTGAGTCGGGAAGGGCGGTCAGTTGGGAAGAGTGGCTGTGTCTGTGTGTGGCTGTGGCTGTGTCTGTGTCTCTGTATGTCAGCAGGAGGCGGAGGGTCCCAAGGTGACCTTGCTGCTCCCATGTCTGCCCAGGCTGGGAATGCGAGAATGGTGGGTTAGAGAGTGAGGAAGTGAGTGTGTGCACATGGTGCTTGGATGGAGCCTTTGCTGCTCCCATGTCTGCTCAGGCTGGGAATACGAGAATGGTGGGTTGGGAAGAGTGTCTGTGCAGGGCCCGTGCCTCGCCTCCACTATCCACGCATCAAATGATTGTGTTCTATTCTCCCCTCTTCTCCACTTCCCCCTTCTCACCTTCTCTCCTTTCCCCCGCCTCCCTTTCTCTCCCCCGTGTGTTTGTGAGAGGCCTGCGCCTGGCCTCAGCCCTCCTTGCATCAACTCTTTGTGTTCTCTGCTCCGCTCTTCACCACATTACCCTCACCCCTTCGCCTTCCCTACAACCCCCTTTCCCCTCGATTTCAGCCTCGTGTGTTTGTGAGAGGCCCGCGCCTGGCTTCGACCCTCCTTGCATCGACCACTACAGCTGGCGCCAGGATGGCCAGGCGCATCGAGCACACGCTGCAAGAACTGGGGGTGAGTGAAGCAAAGGGGAGGGTAGCAACGGGCGGTGGAAGGGAGGGGGGGGAGGGTAAGAGCAAATAACCCATCGGGTACAACAGCTGGCACCAGGATGGCCAGGCGCATCCAGCACACGCTGCAAGAACTGGGGGTGAGTGAGAGGAACACAGGGAGGGGGGGATGAGGCGGGGAGGGGAGAGGGGGGGGGATGGAGCAGCGGACTAGTGTCGACCACTATAGTTGGCGCCAGGATGGCGAAGCGCATCGAACACACGCTGCAAGAACTGGGGTTGAGTGAGGGGAACACAGGGAGGGGGGGATGAGGCGGGGAGGGGAGAGGGGGGGGATGGAGCAGCGGACTAGTGTCGACCGCAATAGCTGGCGGCAGGATGGCCAAGCGCATCCAACACACGCTGCAAGAGCTGGGGATGAGTGATGCCAAGGGAAGGGCGAAGGGAAGGGAAGGGCGAAGGGGAGGGCGAAGGGAAGGGCGAAGGGAAGGGCGAAGGGAAGGGCGAAGGGAAGGGAAGGGTAGCAACGTGCTGAGCGGGGGGGGAAGGGGGGAGAGAGAGAAATCTAGTTTTGAGGCGCCTCAAAACTAGGGGGGGGGGAGGGGGGGGAGAGAGAGAAGTGTGTGGCATGCTGAGAATACATTGCGCTGTGGAGAGAGGCATGCTGAGAACAAACCGCCCCTCATTTCCCTCCTCCAATCGACCCCCTTCCCGCTTCCCCCCCTCGCCATGCCCAGGTGCCCCTTGCCCCCCGGTTGCCCACTTGTGGTGTGGCAGATACAAATCGCGCCCATTCTTCACTCCCCCTCTTTGCTCCGTGCCCAGGTGCCCCTTGCCCCCCAGGTGCCCACTTGGGAAGTGTGTGCAGAATACATTGCGCTGAGAAAAGAGTGAGAACAAACCACCCCTCGTTTCCTTCCTGCTTCCCCCCCTCGCCATGCCCAGGTACCCCTTGCACCCCGAGTGCCCACTCGGGAGGTGTGTGCCGAGTACATTGCGCTGAGGAAGGAAGTGGTCGCACTGCTTAACCTGCAAAAGAAGGTGATATGATATGTTATGATATGATATGATATGATATGATATGATGTGATGTGATGTGATGTGATGTGATGTGATGTGATGTGATGTGATGTGATTTGATTGGATGTGAGTATGATATGAGTATGGTACGATATGATATGATATGATATGATGTGACATGATGTGACATGATGTGACATGAGGTCGTATGACTTACACCTATCCCGCGCTTATTTCTCATTCAAGTGTAGCTTGTCGTTTTCTCAACTGTTGCTTGTCGGTTGCGCAACTGGGCCTTGTCGTATGCGTCACTGTAGCTCGTTTTGCACGAGTGTAGCGCGGCTTGAGAAGATGCCGGATGAGAAAGTGGCGCGAGCTAGGTGTACAATGTTTCTTTTCACGAATTCTCATGCACCGCCGCACAGTTCACAAAAAGTGCACACAACACACTTCCGTGCCCACCTTTGACCCGCGCAATTCTCTCACACAACGAACCGGTCATCTTCTCACACTCACTCACACTCACCCTCACTCGTGCTCGCACTCGCGCTCGCACTTTCTCATGCTTACACTTTCGATTATCTGCATATTTCATCACAGGTACACTGGAAGGAGAACGAGCTTACTCTCTTAAAGGATAGCCTTCAAAAGGAGACAGGTGGGGGAGGAGGCGGAGGGGGAGGAAAGGGAGGGACAGGAGGGAAGGGAGTGGCTGGGGGGAAAGGCGTAGGGGGGGCAGCAGGGGCAAGCAAAGGGGGAGGGAAAGGGGGAGGGGGAGGAGGGGGAGGAATAGGGAAAGGGGGAGGGGGAGGAGGAACAGGCAAGGGGGGAGGGGGAGGGGGAGGATCAGGGAAGGGGCAAGGAGCGCAAGCAGCAGCAGCAGGAGGAGGAGGAGGAGCAGCAGCAACACACCAGTCACACCATGACTCTTCGAGCCTGGGATCCACTCCTAAGGTGAGCTACAGCCTCTCACTTGACTGTTTCTGAGGCGCCGAAAAGTAACAGCAGCAGCAGCAGCAACACACCAATCACGGCATGACTCGTCCAGCCTGGGATCCACTCCTAAGGTGAGCGACAGGCTCTGACTGCTTGGCTCGGCTCTTTCCTGTTAAGCTCTCCTCGATTGGGATCTCCACTCTCCCCTCTCCCCTCTCCCCTCCCCTTATTGAGGCCGCCCGAAATTCGAGTCCTACGATGGGCTGGTTCTGAGCTACAGGGACGTCAGAGCCCAGGCTACAGGGTCAGGCCTGGGCTCTTCCCTTTTCCCCCCTCTTCCCCCACCTTTCTTCCCCCTCCTCCTCCCCCTCCCCCCACCCGTTCTCTCACACCACACACACTTCCCTGCCGGCTTGCTTTCCCTGGCAACTTCTGCCGAGCCTGCTTGTCAGGCTTGGTTGGCAGCTGGCTCAGTTGGCATCCGCGCAATCTCCTGCCAACTCCCTCCAGTCCTCCATTTTTGTCTTTCCTTCGGCTGATAAATCTACTAATTACTTCCGTCCCTGTGTACCGTGTGGCCTATCCATCGATCAGTTGTCATGGAAGAGTAGCAGCAGCGTAGGAGGGTCGCGTTACATGGTCGCGCAGCACCGTGTGGCCTTCATCAGTGCCTGAGCTGGTGCACCGTGTGGCCTATCCATCCCTCCCTGCTCTTCACATCCATCCCTGCTCTTCACATCCATCCCTGCTCTTCACATCCATCCCTGCTCTTCACATCCATACCTGCCCTGCTTTCCCTGGCCAGTCCCACCGAGGCTCAGGCTCGGAATCAGCTTCGGCGCTGCCTGCTCCTTCGCCCACTGTAGCAGCAGGTGTGGTGGTGCTGAGTAATTTGCACGTTTCGCTTAAATTAAGTAACCAAATACGCTCGCTGGCTAAGCCCGTTTGTCCTTTTCCACATTCCCTTGCCAGCTGGCATGTTGTCCCCTCCGCCTGTTATTATCAGTGGGTCATGCCCTGGACATAGCTTTGGCATGAACCTTGGAAACACATGCACCACTCACACGCCACACGCGCACCACACGCGCACCACACGTGCACCACACGCGCACCACACACGCACCACACACGCACGACAGTCACATGCACATCTTCTCCCTCCTTATCTCTCCCTCCCTATTCTCGTGTTTTTAAGTCGACTCAGAAGCATCTATTTCCCTCCCTCTTCACGCACTCGTCCCCACAGCTGCTTCCACCCCGCAGAGGGGAGTTCCACTCCCTCTGGAGGGAGCAGCTGAGTGAACACTCCCAAGTTGGTTATCTTTGGGGCGCTGCATAACCAAAATAACTAATCCTTCTCTCTTGCACTCCCTTTTCTCTTGTCCCGGCAGCTGCTTCCACGCCGCGGCCAGAAGTAGGGAGAAAGGTGAGCCACCAAGGCACGGTTTTAAACCGTGTGTAATGACTCTGTTTTTGAGTCGACTCAAAAACAGACTCATTACACGCGGGAAAGGTGAGGCAACAAGGCAGTGTTTTGAAGGAGTCGTTTAAAGAACAAAAGGGTGAGCCAACACGGCAATGCTGTGTGTGAGGAGGAGGTAGGGATAGCAGTGCGTCATATGGGGCATATGCCCCACCCACATGTCATGTGCTTCTTGGTGAGCCAAGGCAGTTGTCAACTTGCTGGACCCACACCCCCACCTGGCTGCCAGCACTGAAGCTCACCTCACTCCCTTTCCACTCCTTTCGACTTACGCATGTCTCATACCCCCCACCCTCCCAACCCCCCCCCCTATTCCCCCTCCCCCTCCCTGCCAACCCGATCAGCGCCAGGCTGGGTCAAGGCCGTCTGATCCTGGCAGCACTGGTATTCCTGCTGCTGGGGCTGGGGCTGCTTCTGGTGGGGGTGCCGGGGGTGGTGGGGGTGGAGGTGGGGGTGGTGGGGGAGGAGCACAGAAGCGAATCCGACGGCTCAAAATCACTGAAGACTCAATCTAGTGCGAACAAAGTGGGTCACTGCAGTTGGTGCTGCTGCTGCTGCTGCTGCTGCTGCTGCTGCTGCTGCTGCTGATGGTGTGGGGGCGGGGGGAGGAGGGGCGCAGAAGCGAATCAGATGGCGCAAAATCGCACAAGGTGACTTTTGAGTCGACTCAAAATCGCACAAGACTCTGCCTCGTGCGAACCAGTGTGGTACATTGCAGGTAGTTCTGCTACTGCCACTCAAACGGGTTCTGCTACTGCTGCTCAAACGGGTTCTGCTACTGCTGCTGAAACGTGTTCTGCTACTGCTGCTGAAACGTGTTCTGCTACTGCTGCTGAAACGGGTTCTGCTGCTGCTGCTGCTAAAACTGGTTTTCCTGCAGCTGTTGCTGGAACTGGTTTCCTGCTGCTGCTGCTGTTGCTGGGGTTGGAGATAACAGGGGACACAGAAGGACCGCTAGTGGCCATGTGGCATCACTGGCATGCTTTTCTCTAGCTAGAGCCTAGAGGTCCTTCCTTACGACTCCAGAGTGTAGTGAACACTGCTACCATATGGTATCTGTACAAAATATCTTGTAGATCTTTAGTGGTTATGTGGTAGGTTGTTGGGCTGAGAAATGCCCTTAGGATCTTTTCAAAGACAAAGTCCCAGTTGAAGATTAAGACTTGAGTAGTGCAGCGGAAGTTGAGGCAGTTGAACCCTTGTACTAGTATATGAGAACAAGTGATTGATTAAAGAAACAAGCATACAGCAATATATAGAAGATGAGAAAGCAGTTGTAGAGTACAGTTACAGGAACGGTTTATCGAGTCGCACAGCGACTCGATTGCCGCTTCGGTTACCATCCGTGATGTTGTAACGGTCAGCCGCAACCTCCAGTTGCGACATTTCGAGTCTTTTCGCATTCTTTGTCCGCCCCCTCATGTAACCTCCGTTGACTCGCGTGCTCCCCTGTAGTCTTCCTCGAGTGCAGTGTTACACTTCAGAAACGCTTAAGTCCTTTGAGATATTTTCAACACTCCCCTTCGTTTCTGGAGTGTTGACGTGTTCGGGTCCGGTGACGTTTGTTTGCCCGGTCAGGAGCATGCAGTAGTCGAATTTTGCTTTCGCCAATTTCTTCGTCAGATAATCTGCGGCCATTTCTGTCGTCGGGCAGTAACTGAGTTGAAGTCTCCCCTTTGCGATTTCATCCTTGACGAAGAAGTACCGCAGGGCGATGTGCTTAGTTCGGTTGGCGAAGCCGTCCTTGTTCGCGATTTTGATCGCAGATTGGTTGTCGCAGAGGAGTGAGAAGACGGGCAGGGTCGCAATCTTCGCTTCCTCGAGTAACTCTCGTAGGTAGAGTCCTTCCTTGGTCACAGTACAGAGGGCGATATATTCTGCTTCAGCCGAGGATAGTGCGATTAACTCCTGCTTGCTCGACTGCCAGGAGATAGTTCCGATAGGTTCTACTCGGTAGATGTAGCCCGTCCTAGATCGTCGATTTTCCCTGTCTCCCGCGTGGTCGGCGTCGACGTATCCGAGTAGTCGTACGGACGGTGTTGTTGCCTTGCTGTAGGTGAGCCCGATCGTCGGCGTGGAGACGAAGTAGAGTAGCGCCCGATTGAGCTCTTCGAGATCTTCCTGTTCCGGCTGCTTCAGATGCGTCGCCAATTGACTCGCACTATAGGACAGGTCGGGTCGGCAGGTTACTGCTGCGAATAGTAGGCAGCCGAGCTTCTGTTGATACTCCTGGATTTGCTTCGCGGGGAGTTTTGCGGAGGCGCTGTTGTTGTTCCCGTAGCGGTAGGGAGTTGGGACCGCAGTCGGTGTTAGACCGAATTTCTTCGCGACGGTGCCTGAGTACTTTCCAGCGTGTAGGTAGAACGCCGTGTCGTCTTCGACGACATTCAGTCCTAGGTACTGAGTAACTTCGTCAGACACCGTAAGTGTTAAGTCTTCTTTCAACTCCCCTTCGAACCAGGTGGCGATGTCGATAGTGGAGCCGATGTAGAGCAGGTCGTCGACGTAGACGATGAGTAGGACATACTCTCTTCCCTTCTGCAGTCGGTACATCCCTTGGTCATGCGGCAGTTGTAGGAATCCGATTTTTGCGAGACGGCCGTGAAGGTGCTGCTGCCAGAGCCGCGGGGCTTGCTTGATCCCGTATAGGGATTTTGTCAGTCGGCATACTTTCGTGGGGTCGTCGATGAATCCGTGGGGTTGTTCGACGAAAATCTCAGCGTCCACAGGTGCATATAGGAACGCATTGGCGACGTCGATTTGGCGTAGTGGTAGTGTCTTCGTGGCCGCGACGGCGAGTAGGATGCGTAATGAGGTGTGACGGGAGACTGGAGCGAAGGTTTCTGTGTAGTCAGTTCCGTATCGTTGATCGAAGCCTCGTACGACCCATCGAGCTTTGAATCGTTCGATGGAGCCGTCTGAGTTGGTCTTGATGCGGTACACCCATTTCCCCGAGAGGACGTTCTTCCCGTTGATGCTTGTTGCAAGTACCAGTTTCCATGTTTCTCGGTCTTGCAGAGCCTTTAACTCCTTTTCCATCGCTTCTTTCCATTTTGCCTTATGTTCCCCCCCCAGAGCCTGCGACAAGGTCGAAGGCTCACGCGGAGAAGGCGGCGGCGGATGCTGGACGGAGACCCAGAGGCCTAGAATCTGCAGTCCCGTGGGTGTGTGTCGAGGGGAATTTTCATTCCCGGAATAAGCTGCTTCGTCATCGTCTTCTGGGTCAGGTGAGAAGTTGGGACCGATGCGTTCTGAAACATTTGTGTCAACTGGGTGGGGTGTAATGTAACCTTGGTCAGCGAAGTGGTAGAAGGTGTCGAGGTTGTTACTATCGAGAGGATTGTCGTCGTCGAGTGGAATAGATACGGAACAGAATGGGAGTGGTCCGGCAGTTAATAATGTTTGGTGTCTGTTGTGCAGATGTTGAAGAGCGCCTTGGAGGACTTTCTTGAGTGGAAGCGACTTGTGGGTCTACTGGGCGATAAACGCGAGGGCGTGTGCAGTTGACCTTGGAGTGCCCGGAAGTCTGGCAGTTGTGGCAGAACGGTGGTACGAAAGTAAGTCCTCTGTTGTCGCGTTGATCTTGCTTGCCGCGTCGATTGTAGTTGTTGTCATTCCTTCGTTGAGTGTAGAAGACTAACTGCTGCTGCTTCCTTGGTTGTCGTTCTTCGAACAGGTCCATCTCCTGTTGTTCAGCGTGAAGCTCGGCGCAGAGGTGCATCTCCGAAATCCTTCCATGGGCGCGAAGAAGCGATCGTGTGGTTCTCCATTCTGGCCCGAGCCCCGCGAGGACAAGCGTCACGAAGCTCTCTTCAGTGATTGTTCCTCCGCACCGAAGCAGGCGGTCGCGGAGGGTCTGGCAGCGACTCATATACTGCATCGCCTTTTCTCCGGTCTTCATCTGTATTGTTGTCAATTGTTGCATGAGTCTGCTTTGTGTCACGCTGTCGTTTGCTTGATAGAGGCACTTGAGGTGATGCCATGCGAGTTCTGCGGAGTTGCCATAGCTCCTGTATGTTCTGATGCTCTGCTGTTCTTGTGGTGACAGATTTCTCAGGAGAACTGTATACGCCAGCAGCGACTGATACGTGAAGATTTCTTGCTCCTTTCCAGTGCCGTTGCTTGGGAATGGCAGGGACCCGTTGAAGTATCCCAGGAGATGCGCAGCCTCCATCAGCAACTCGAACTCGAAACTCCAGGTAAAGAAATCGTGTCCGTTGAATGGTGAGGATGTCTGCAGTTTAATCACGTGTGAGAACTGCGCCTGGAGGCTTAAAATCTCGTTTGGTGTCTGTTGTGATGCAGCTGCTGTTGGTTGGGCACGGGGCGGCATGAACTCGAACGTCCCCGGTGAAGAGTGATAAGGCGCAAAGGTAGGCGCTTGATTGTGTCGCCCGAATGATGAATTGTCGAGGCTCATCGGCGCTAATCCCATGTTTCCTCCATTGCTCTGTGTTGAATGTGCAGGTGTCCTTGTCTGCTGCTGCTGGTCGAAGTGCGACATGAAGCTGAAGAACCTTTCCATAAGGTTGGGGTCCACGCTTGAAGAGGGTGATGGAGTTACCACCTCTGGTGCTCTTCCTGATGTTTCTTGAGTAGTCCCGGTCTCTGTCTGCAGTCCTGAGGCGTGCAGTCCAGAGTTGCCGTGTTGAGTTTCTTGGCCGCTGGGTGAGCCCGTAGAGATTTTCTTGCCCTTGCTGTCCATGTCTTGTAATCAATGAGGTCGTTGAATTGAGTTGAGTTGCAGGTTGTTGATAGAGCGCAGTTGCTGGGAGTTTGGTCTCTGACTAGCTCTCATACCATGTTGGGCTGAGAAATGCCCTTAGGATCTTTTCAAAGACTAAGTCCCAGTTGAAGATTAAGACTTGAGTAGTGCAGCGGAAGTTGAGGCAGTTGAACCCTTGTACTAGTATATGAGAACAAGTGATTGATTAAAGAAACAAGCATACAGCAATATATAGAAGATGAGAAAGCAGTTGTAGAGTACAGTTACAGGAACGGTTTATCGAGTCGCACAGCGACTCGATTGCCGCTTCGGTTACCATCCGTGATGTTGTAACGGTCAGCCGCAACCTCCAGTTGCGACATTTCGAGTCTTTTCGCATTCTTTGTCCGCCCCCTCATGTAACCTCCGTTGACTCGCGTGCTCCCCTGTAGTCTTCCTCGAGTGCAGTGTTACACTTCAGAAACGCTTAAGTCCTTTGAGATATTTTCAACATAGGTAACCACCATTCGTCCCCGTTGCTGCTCTTCCTGTATGCATACTAACTTGAGTCGATGACTCTGTGTGGACTCTCTTTTGCTGCTCTGTGTGTATTGCACTGTTCTCTCCAACCGCACCTTCTTCTGCTAGTTATGTACAAGGTACAGTAACAGTACAAGTTTATCCACAAAGAACGATTTTGAGAGTGGCCATTACAAAGAAACTTGGAGCATCACAATTTACAAACCACAAGCATTCCTACCAACCCTAGCACCACACGTCATAAGCAGTGCAGCAACATGTCAGAACTGAGTCACAAACCACTGACTTTATAGGGCTTGGGCGCCCATAACCCCCCAGGCATAGAGGCATGTGGCCCTTCCCCGAGGATCTCAAGGGCAAACCCAGCGGGTCTCTCTGTCGAGTGACCCGCTGGGGGTTACCCTTGAGAAGATCCTCGGGGAAGGGCCACAGGTGCAGAGCCTGGGGGGCTACGTCAACTTATACCTACATTGCATGTAGAAGTTATATGCTAGAACCCAACCCCTATATCTCCCTTGTTCTCTCTTCTTACTAACCATTCTAGAATTCTAACGTGGTATCATGAATAGGTTAGGTCCCCCCCACCCGCTTCCGCCCCGTGCCCTAGCCTACCGCGCCTCGTCGGCCCCTAGCAGGTCCGCCAGCCCCTAGCGTGCCCGTCGTCCCCTCACGCCTAGCCAGCCCCTTTGCGTTCAGCGGGCCCCTCTCGCGCCGTAACTGGCCCCTCGAGCCGTAGCCAGCCCCTCGCGCCTAGTCGGACCCTCGCGCCCAGCCCGCTACTCGCGCCGTCGCCAGCCCCTCGCCGCCGTCGCTGGCCCCTCTCGCGCCTAGCCAGGCCCCTCGCGCCGTTACCGGCCCCTCACGCCCTAGCCGGCCCCTCGCGCCGTCGCCGGCCCCTTGCGCCCAGCCGGCCCCTCTCACTCAGCCGGCCCCTTGCACCTAG